AGATGTCTGGTGAAATGAAATTTACATGCTAATGAATTAAACCGGGACATCACAATATTCATGCAAATGAAAATTTAGGAATGAAATGAAATGGTGAGAATAGGGCGTTCATAGAATGGTTAGAGAGCACGCTTGTGTTTTTCTAGTTCACGGGTTTATTTCACCACGGCCAACAACTGGTAAATGATATTGCTTCTGGTTAGCCATCACTGGCTGGTTTTCGCCAGACCTTACAGCGGTTTATGTGAAATCATTGTGGACATGCCGGACCTGGCATTGGTAGGAGGAACACACTTGCCATCCCTCAGACATTGGTACCGCTGGGGATCTTGTGAGCGATGGGAGGTGGATGGCGGGTCTGACATTCCCCCTGTGTGCTGTGCAAGTACACGTGCAAACAGGGAGACTGACCACTGACCACTGACCATAGGTCATGCCACCGTCCTTAGTACATACCCCACCATTCCCACGTGTTCGCACTACCGCCATCCCCGGCCCCCGGCGATGGATACAACTCAAACCAAGCACGCGTGTCGTCCACCGTCACGCCGTCACCGGGCGTCACGTCACACCTCCGATAGCGGCGGCGCCGGCCCCGTGACGGAGCGGCTCGTCTCTCACTGCGGCCGTGACAGCAGCGGAGGGTGTGAGGGACGCGGCGCCGGTGCGCGCTACATACACCGCCGGTGGTCTGATCAAAGGGAGAGTCGGCACGCCGCCCCTAATCACAGACACACCGCTGTCAGTGCAGTGGGGCTTCTCAGGGCGGACGCCGGCCGAAGATTGAGTCTGTGTGCCCCGGACCGTAATGGGAAATGGAGAAATAACTTAGCGTGAATGGGTGTCTTTATTGCGACGGAGGACTTCGGGGAACGGCTATGCGAGGCACACTGCGAGTTATTTCATATATGAGCCAGTCTCTCTCGCACAGTGGAAGGTACTTATTAGTTATGACACAGCGGAAGATATTACTTATGACACACGTGGCGTGTGCTGGGCGGAGGCGAACTCTGTCGTGTCTGGGGACGGGTTGTGCACTGAGCAGCTACAGCAGACACGTTCGCAAACCCGTATGAACTTTTGTTGTCTTATACAACATTACAACAGCAACAGTCTGCGCTGTGATGTAGACGGTGACCACTAGTAGTGTCACGGCCAACAACTTGAAATCTGAATCCTTCTGTCCGTGTTTGAGTCTATAGATAAAGGACCGCCACATGTTGTGTGTTTTCGCGTGTGGCCGGCTGGTGATCGCAGCCTGTTGCAGTGTTGGACAGCTCAGCAGGCGGATATGGGACGGGTGACTGCCGTCCGGTGGCGGGCGGTTTAATATACCGGGGTATCCATCACGGCAGTCGGCCGGCCGGGCGGCAGTGGCAGCAGGTGCCGCCGGAAGCACCGTCCATCTGTTCCACTCCAGTGGGTACTGGGTGTGGTAACTGCTCCGCCGGCCGTCCGCCTGCAGAACAGATACCCCGGCATCAGTGGGCGTCAACTGATCTCAGGTCCTCAGAATCACTCCAGATAGGCCCTATTGCCCCTCAGATATACCCCGCAGTCCCTTTAGATTCACTCGACTGCCTTTTGACAACTTTCCGTCTCCTTGAACTGAACTGAAGCCTTTTCGAGCCGCCTTTGCTGTTCTCCCAATACCATCTACCTCTTCTACTACTTTCATTATTCCTGCGGCCGTCGCCGTCTTGTCAGCCTCTGACCAACATCTTCTCCCATCCCTCTCCTCTCCCGCTACCGCCGACCCTCCCACCCCTCTCCCCGCCTCTCTACCTCTGTCCCTTCCCGTCCTCCGTGAATGTGTTTACCCGCTCCGGTCCCCGGGTCAGCCGGCTGGGCTCCTCCGATAGCCGCAGCACAGCAGCCGCCACCGCGCCGCCGCACACTGGTCGGAAACGCCCTCACGAGAGGCCACGGGCGATTCCGGAGTTTCGGATTATTTTTTATATAGATCGATTTGAAATTGATCAAATTATTATACTTAGGCCAAAAAAACTAATCTGGGTGACCAAAAATAGCTGCAATCAGCCCCCGAAGATGGGGTATCCCAGAACTCGGAAACTGACGCGGAGCAAGAGGTTTCTTGAGCCGGATATTCAGAGTCTTATTGCTGATAGACACCAAATTGAAATCCCACATATTATGCATCAAAATGTTCGTTATGAAGCTGCCGACTGGTCAGTGCAAAATTTTTGGCATACTTTTTCCCTAACTAAGATGTACTATAGCTTTTTTATGAAGGCTCTCCTACAGTGATTCTGGAATATAACTGCAAAGTTTAGGTAAGGAAACAACAGGTAGTCCCATCTAGTTCCACTCTGATTTTTTGTGAGATGAAGTAGGATTTAAATTTACACCAGGGCAACATAAAAGCTAATTGCGCATATTTGCGCAAAATTTGCAGGAGCCGCTCTTCCTACCCAACTACCGCCCGCCCCGCCCCAGTTTCGGCTCGGCCGCCGCGCCCGGCTTACGCTGACCTGTGTGGCCTGCACGCATCCATGCGTAGTTGACTGGTCATTAAAAGCAGATGCGCTTGAGTTTATGAATTTTGTGAAAAGCGCGTTTTATGTATGCACTTATGTATGTATTGACATCAAAAGCCTTCCACAATCCACATATTGCGTGGCGATTACGGCTTGCATTTAGAGAGCCTTGCTATTGACAACCATCACTCGGCTGAAGAAAGTGGAAATTGAAACCTTCGTGAATATAAGACGCTGCAAATATAGGACACCTGTCACTGACGTCGGGTTACCTTGGGCCGTCTTTTTACATTAGATCACAATTCCGGTATTTAACCCTGGCCGGACCGATTGGTTTTCTACATTGACCGGGGAGGGTTGGTAAGTACAACTCCCTCGCCGTTTCGCCTCTAATTGAGCTAGAGCCTCGCGGAAAAAACAAGCTTGTGTGCCGTTATAAGACGCAAAAATTAGGTACTACCCGATTTTAAGGTCTTAGGTCAGCCAGTGACCTCTTAGGTCAGGTAAGTGCCACAAGGCACGGGCTCGGTTTTAGGTTAATTACTTTGCCAAAAATGGTCGCACTGCCGCGATTTTGGCATAATCGTGTTTGTCTAGCTCAGGCGCGTTGAATGCTATACTTGGTGTTCGGGTGAAGTCAACTTAACCCTCTTCGGCACAGGCTATTTTGCGTCCTTCGACGGCATAAGGGGGGGGGGGGTTGGTACGACCCCCCTCCTCGCGTTTGGCCCCTGATCGAGCTAGAGCTTCGCGGAAAAAACGAGCGTGTTGCCCGTCACGAGACGAAGCCGATGATACCCAATTTTAAGGTCCTAGGTCATCGGTTGACCTTCTAGGTCAGGTCAATGACCCGAAAACCGGGAAAATCGGGACCTGTAAGAAAGTCGTACCTAAAGTGTGGCTGCTATGTGGTTTTCCGGGGTGCTGATAACGAATATCGTGTTAGTTTTGATCAGAGATGATGTTTTTAAGCATTTAGACCAGGTCGGGTCAGGTCAGGTCAGGTCAACCGGTAGGGGTTGTGACGGGTATTCGTAATACGTGTCAACCGCCTCTGACAGCTTCGTAACATGTTACGAAGGCACCAAAACTACTTCGTAAATGTTCAAATGGTTGCTAAATTCGAATTCCGCTCCAAAAACTAGCCTAGAAACATGTAAAACTCGAAAAAGTGAACCAGGTCACCCGAGGTCACCAAAGGTCAATGACCTGACCTGACCTTTAGGTGACCTTGACACCCACCCTAATGTATGGGAGCAACATCAAATCACATGTTTGAACTTTTGAAACCACGAAAAGCTTGCAAACGCGCGGCTAATGCGAGCCGACATACGCCGAATCGCGATTTCGGCCAAACATGGTCATGGAAAAGAGGTCACAGGTCAAAGGTCATTGGGGTCAGGGTCATGAAATTTTCAGGGAACGTGTAAAATTGATCAATGCGAGGGTACTGAAAGTTTCGTTGCGATCAGCCGCTTTTTACGCGAGTTATTCGCGAAAAACCTTAGGGGGGGTGCATCACCCCCCCGTGCCGGCGAGGGTTAAGGTGTTAACCTCGGGTCAAGGTCAGGTCGGAGCTCCTCAGGTCACGAAAATGGTTGAAGGAGGTTATATCGCATATCATTCGATTTGGCAGGTCTTCCTGAGTCCAATGGTGGCTTTCCCGACTCTCTAGCTCCATCTGATCAGGAGTTATTGACGAAAAACTTACATGGCCTTAGTGACGTCATAAATGACGTCACGCAAAGTCAACAATGCTAAAGTCAAGCACTGGACCTTGCAAGGAGTGCATGAAACCATTCCCGGTGCCCCAATAGCAGCTCCCAATTTCCCTTGTTGACTTAAAGTGGTGCTAGATCCTGTATTATACTCAATTATGACGTCATAACTTAACAGATTCATGTCATATATTCAGTGCTTGACATCCAAATGATAGCTTACATATGACAGAGAAGGTATGCAAAGTTTTATGAAGTTTGCTTCACTAGTTGTGGAATAACAAGCAAAAAACTTTTGCGGAAAGGCCGCTGGCCTCTCGCTGGAGCGTTTCCGACCAGTGTGCGCCGGAGATAGGCCCCAGATCAGCGTCGTGTGCCCAGCTGCGCCGTCAGCCCTTATTGATGCACCGCGCCGGAGAAAAGCTCGATCGTGATTTGTGTGAGACGAAGCTGCGAAAATACTCGTACATCCATCAAGTGGGGGTGGAGTGAAACTGGTTCCAACGATCATATGCAGGTCTCGTAAGAGGTACTGACCTACCATTATCATGTTATTTTCAGGTATTGACCGTGACCCAGACTCGTGACCCTGACCATGACCCTGTGTCCCTGACCTCTGACCCTGACCGCACCGTCCTCCTTGTGCCCGACAGGCCGACATCGATATATCGGACGACGAGGGTCGGACGCCTCTTCACGCTGCCGTGGAGCGAGGTCACAAAGAGTGTGTGAGAGCGCTGCTCACCGAACTACTCAACAGGTGATGTTATAAACCTACCCCCAATCACCTCAGATACATGCAGAGACACACAGAGACCCAGCACTCAGAGGGGCAGCTCTCCGTCATACCGGGGCGGGCCTGGCAATCACTCCCACTCTCCTAATACCGTCCCTGGAGGCCGGGATGATGCGCCGATGGCGACTCATTGAGACAAATTGCCGCGCACTTGTGTACGGCGCTGTATAGTCTCTCTTGAAAGTATCGCGTCATGGGCTGCGGCGGCTCGGCGAACTATTCCATTCAGTTTGAGGACCCCAGCAGTGAGGTCATGGCCTGTATAATAAAAAGTACGCTGTAGCACGATTCTACGCCGGCGGTAGGAGGAAAACTGCTGTATGACGCAGGCACCAGCGGCCGACAACTGGGTCAAAACAGGTGGAGACTGACCAAAGGTCATGCTCCTATCACTCGCCTTTACCCCGTCCACCGCCCCGGGCAGATACCGGCGCCGCTTGGGTTCACCAGCCGGGCGCTCATTGGTCTCCTTTAGTGGGGACCAATCACTAAGTGTGCGTGACGCATAAAATCACAATGGAGCAAAGTTCCGCCATAACCCTACTGTGAAGAGGCCTTCTGAACGAAGGTCATGAGTTGGGGGGGGGGGGCAGCCTGACATCGAATAGTTAGGGCTTTTAAAAAGAAGACGGCTTAACGTTTTTTTTTTTTGTCGCCGTTCACTAACCGGCTCATTAAAAAGAGAGAAATTCAAATAGAGGACTACTTGGCTAGAGAGCGAATATGTGAATTGGCTAGAGAGATAATTTTTGTGATTTGAATCCGCTCGCGGGTGCATCTGCAACCACGGATGCAACCACTGTTAGCGGGTGCAACTGATGATTTTTTTTTCGTATTCGGGCATGGGTTTCCGGATTTAACCAAAAACCTGTGACAGTCGTGCTGATGACGTGTCAAACTGTTAACTTTGCAATTAAACATAGCTCAACAAATCCTGTGCGAGTAGGGTGGCTTCCGTTGACCACATGCTTACTGCCACCACAAGTTAGCGCACGGCGACTGCCACTCCCCCCCCCCTCCCCCCATCCCTCCGCAACCACTCCTCTCCGCGCCCCGCCGCGCTGGCTGCCTCCGCGTGTCAGACTTCGGTCAGTGCTACCAGCGGCTCTCAAACTTTTCCGCTCAACCGCGGCTGGGACAGGTGGCGCCTTCCCTCAGAGTCGCGATACTTTCAAGAGAGACTATACAGATCCATTCACTCGCTCGCCGGAGGATGGGCGGTGCTCTGCCCCTGCTGACGTCATCGGAGACTAACGCGCACCCGTGTGGACGGCGGTATTGTTGTCCGGGGGGGGGGGGGGGCTATAATGCACGAGGGCGGTTAGAACGATGGATCGTAGGCGTTCGTTGCTAAGGCTGGATTTTTTCATGGTGAGGTGTAATGATGTTTAGCAATTTGTAATGATTTGACGTAATGATGTAATGATGTTACCATGTTTGTGTAAATGGGAGTGCGTTACTGTGTTTTAGCTCGATAAGGCTTTTATTACATGTCTGTCGTTGGCTGGAAAGTCTGTCTATGTGTTGTCTCAACAGCGGTTAGTTATAAGTGGCCCCGCATGGAAGCCAGCTTTCAACCATGCATGGGTGTACCGGCGATTATGGATGATAACTGTGTTACCTGCACTGCTCTTGTGACTGCCTTCTGCCTGACTGTGACTACTATTGTCTGACTGAGTGTGACCGCCGTCCGGCAGGTTCCAGCTGTCTGCCCCGGCGTCTGTGGAGTTCAGTAACCTGACGGCCGAGTCCAGTGCGGTGTTACCTGCACTGCTCCTGTGACCGCTGTCTGACTGAGTGTGACCGCCGTCCGGCAGGTTCCAGCTGTCTGCCCCGGCGTCTGTGGAGTTCAGTAACCTGACGGCCGAGTCCAGTCTGGTGTTACCTGCACTGCTCCTGTGACCGCTGTCTGACTGAGTATGACCGCCGTCCGGCAGGTTCCAGCTGTCTGCCCCGGCGTCTGTGGAGTTCAGTAACCTGACGGCCGAGTCCAGTCTGGTGTTACCTGCACTGCTCCTGTGACCGCTGTCTGACTGAGTATGACCGCCGTCCGGCAGGTTCCAGCTGTCTGCCCCGGCGTCTGTGGAGTTCAGTAACCTGGCGGCCGAGTCCAGTCCGGCCCACGCCTGTCCCGAGTTCGGGGCCATCATCAACCGGGCAGACACCAGCGGCAGGTGAGGGCGGGACGCCACGGCCTGGCGCTGGGCTGCTGGACTTTGTTAATTGTCTTTGACAGCGTCGACAGGGGAATTTTGACGCTGCGGAGAGGACACCGAGAATAGGTAGGCTCAATTAAATCAACGTTTTAACCAACAGCTGAATGCGCTATCGCTCATTTCGTCTCAAGACTAAAGCAGACAAATCAACGTCTATTCGTAGCAAGTGGCATGCCCTTCGCTCATCGGCACCACGCCCGTACGTAATGCATCACGGTGGGCCCATACTAGGGGCGGCGCTGGGGGAGGGGGCCGGTCCACCACCGTGTAATGACCTTGGCAATGGCTGGTGGGGCTTCCTCTGTCTGCCGGCCCCGATAGTCGACTGACCATGACGGACCATCCCCTCCCTCCTCTCTCCATCCTCTCTCCTCTCCCCAAGTCTCTGTCTCCGCCGGGCTGTGTGTATGTGTGTGTGTTCCGCGGGAGTACCACACACTGACACCGGATCCTGCGCGGTCACCGCCGGCCCCTCTGCCGACACTGAGCGCCGCGCCGGCCGGGCGCCGCGGCCCCGTAATGGATGGCGCTGGGACACCGAGCCGCTAATGAAACACCGCCGGCTTGGTACCCGCCGGACGTACAGCCGACGTGCGCAGCGCCGTGTGGGGCGACTGCTTGACGTTGGTGACCGGAAGGTGGGGTTTTGGGAATCTGGGCAGGCGCCACGCCTGTTTGAACGTGAGAGCACAGTTATATAGGGTTACCTTGTGAGAACATTGGGCTAGGAGTGACCAGAGTGGGGTTCCATGCTGACTGCTGATCGGGGGCTGCTGATTCGATCTGACCGTAGGTCAGCATTGGTGACCCGCGCTGACGGGAACTGACCATGAGGGCGGTATTGTGGACTCGTATAGATTCACAAGACCACTCTTGGCGCTGATGACTCTTGCTAATCTTTTCTGTCCCGCAGGACGGCTGGTGTCCTGAACTGACCCTTCCTGTCCGTTAGGATGGATTTCGTGATAGATCACTGATGCGTGCAGATTCTGGGGGCGACTCTACTAACCTATCCTGTCCCGCAGGATGGCTCTGATGACCCGTACCGACCCGTCCTGACCGGTAGGACGGTTCTGAACCCGTACTGACCTTCCCCGTCCTTCAGGATGGCTCTGATGTTGTCCCTTCCTGCCCCACAGGACGGCTCTGATGCTGGCGGCCGAGGTGGGCAGCTCAGAGCTGGTGATGCTACTACTGATGCACGGCGCCCAGCCTGGTCTGACGGACCAGCAGGGACGGACGGCTCTCTATTACGGGGTGAGTTCGGACTACCGACTGACTTTTACCGGGTGAGTACGGACAGAGACGCATGGAGCCTAGCCGGGACTGACGGACGGACAGAGACGCACGGACTTTAATTACGGGGTAAGTACGGAGAGAAAGGCACCGCGCTTGGCTATGGGGCAAGTAAGAGGAGACGCTCGGCTCTACAGTTTGGGGACGCACGGCGCCCCATTACGGGGTGAGTACGGACTACAGACTGACGTGATAACGCCAGTGAGTGCGAGGGACATCAGCGTAGTGTCAGACCCCTTCAGTGCAGTGTCATTACCTACGAGCGGCGCGGACGGCGCAGTGTCAGTCTGACATTTGCTGGGAGCGTGCTTCTGGGAACGAGATTCTAATATTCCCCGTGTGGCCAGGGCGCAGACAAGGCCGAAATTCACGGCTGCCGCTGTGGGCATCTTCTCTGGGTAATAGTGTGTGCCTGCATTTTCTGGGCAATGACGTCTTTCTTGTTTGTTAGAGTTGGTTCACAAAAGTAAAAAACACGGTAGGCTACTCTTTTTTATAGCAATGCTTGCAAATATGTTTGGCATTGCCTATGGCATATGCAGTGCAATATCGGAAAACAACATTTTCATCAATTTGGACTGTGGTCTGTTTATTCAAAGACTCAAGGTTCTTTGACATCCGCCTCATTTTTCTTTTCTTTTTCTTTTACGGCACCGTTTTTCGTGAACGATGTCTACCTGTTGGTCCCCCACGGTCGTTCGACTCGGCAATTGGAGCCTCCTCCGGCTGGGACGACTGTTTGTCCGGACTGGAGCGGGCGACTTTGGGAGTGGCGACACCGTTTACATATGGCGCGGCTCGTTTATATTCGAGCTGCCTCTGGACGTCGGAGCCGCTAGAAGTGTGTGTGTTCCTTGCTGTCTTCAATTCGCTGTCTGAGTTGTGAATTTCTGACGAAGGTGGTGTGATAAAGTCGCATTGAATTTCAAATACCATGTGCGGTTTTCATGAACTATCGTGTGCTGTGAATTAACTGCCTAATCAATCGTTAAATTGCAGTTCCTCCATGGCAGCGAGACGTATCTTATCACGGGCTATTTTCACGGTCATTTACGGGCTGGAATGAGGTGCCAAGCTAATCAATTTGAGTTTCTGGTGATTTCTCGCTGTCGCCTGCCTCCCTCGTTAAATATGGCCGCGGCTGCTGACAAGTACGAGCCGAGCGGGATATGAGTGTGAGAGATAATTTACGGCGTACAGGAGAGCCGGAGACCCCAGACGCTGTGCCCGCTTTAGTTTGGGAATTTGCTCTGTGGACTTCGCTCCAAATTTGTGATGCCTAGATGGTTGAATGAGATTGACGCAGTCAATTCCTATCAAATTGGCATCAAGCTGTTGCCATATATGGACGCAAAATTGTCAGCGCATGATTTGGAATTTCGTTAACTCTGTTTACTGCATTCCATTTCTTCTGCTTTTCCGATTTCGTCTGAACTTGTTCAATTTAATTACGTTTTTCCCGGTCGTGTTTGTCGACACCGGCCTGAATCTCGTCGGGGAGCTGTGTGAGCCGGCTCCGACTCCGGACTAAAGGCGCCGGCTGCAGCTCCGCATCCTGAACGAGACCCAATTAGCATTTACATGTCTCATCCATCGAATTTGTCGCCCGGCTGTGATCTCGGGGTGGTACACCGTGCGAGCTGTGTTTGACGGGCGGGCGACACGACAGCCACCCGGGCTGTCCTTGGATTCAGGAGGTGTCTACGGGGCAGGAGAGGTGGCGCCTATCCTATGGGCAGGGGCGGTGTCTGGGGGTCTGGAAGGAACAAGAAGGTCGCCTGTCGCCTGTGCTGTCCTGAGAGGCGTTGTAGAACAAAAAAAGGCACATCTTTGTATTTGCTACGAACTATGCTGCGATGCATCTGCTGCACTCTATCGCGTCGTTATACCATGCCCTAACCGTCATGATTACGCCCATAATGTTAACTTCCGCGTCCTAAAATAGACCACTCTCCTGCACGTGCCCAGATCCCCCCCCCCCCATACGGCGGGCCTTTAATGTCCGCGGCGACCTGAACTCGGTGGCGATTGGTTTAATCTCCGCGCCGGCGGACTCATCAGCCGTGAACCGTGACCGGCGGCCGGACCGCTCCGCCCGTGAGCCCGTGAGCCAACCGCCCCGGCTGCCCAGTCTGGTCAGGTGCGGGAGTAATTTGACCGGCTGTTCACAGCCGAAACTGGGCGCAGTGTTTGTGGAGGTAATCCGCCTATTAACGTTCTAACGTCACTGCCCGATACCATTAGAAGTGCTGTCCGTGACAGTGAGGTGTCGATGTTTGAGGACCGACGGCGTGTGCTGCTGTTTAAACATAGTAGAGCTATGCTCTATGTTTGTCTTTTCGGTTATAGATGGTCAGTTAATATGGAATGGTCAATTGAGGATTTTGACCTATCTTTGGGTACATTGTATCATGTATGATTGCCGCTGCTTGTTTAAATGAAGAGATTAAATAAGTAGAAACGATCCACCACCAGCAGCTGCCTGCCGCACGGATGAAGATCACTCACTACCTTACCCCCTGACCGACTGGCCATCCGTCGGACCTCCCCCAGTCGGTGACTCCCGTCTCCCGTCTGTGAGCCGAGCAGCCCTCACTGGCGGTGACAGCCGTCCTATTACCCCGGCGTGGCGCCGGCACAAATGGAGCCCCTCCAAACCGGCCCGCCGGACGCCCGTTTGAATACGCTCGCCGCCGGCTGCCAATGCAGCGACGAGCTGCTGTTGACGTGCGTCATCCAGATGTATTTAGGATGAGCCGGTTATTTCGCAGGCCCGTAGTCACTCGGGAAATGGAATCCTTCGCGGCGCCGGAAAATGCAGTTATTTATGGCCGACTCCGTGGCATATCGCTCAAACAAAAGTAGTTATTTAGTGCTCATCGCATTATTTATAGCGTGGTTTATTTTGTGTTTGGTATGCTGTATATTTACGACGGCATGCTCTTGGCAAAGGCTGAAGCGTGCCGTTGTATCCGAGCAGCAGCTGCGTCTTTAAACCTGCCTGGGCTCTGAACACCTCCCTACCTCTCGGTCATCGGGGCTCGTTCGGAGACTGTCAGAGGAGCCGGCTCACGGCGCGGCTAATCCGCCGCCCCGGTGGCAATTTCAGCGGCCAGACGGTGGTCATCACGGGGTGATAAGTGGGACTGACCGGTCAGGCGGGGAGCGGTGGGCGGGTGCAGGAACGCCATAACGCAGACGGGCGCCCAGCAACGGCTGTAAGGGGTTCGAGTAAAGAACTGTATCGCTTGGTTGCTTGGTTGGCGATCTAGCGCATGTTTTCTTTCGGTGGTAGATATCCAGATCATCCAGATAAAAAGGCCTAATATGTATGGGGGATCGGGGATGTGATATGCGTTTTCACGAACTGCGTAGTAGCTGGTAGATCCGCACAGCAACAGCGGAACTGATTACAGCGCAAATACAGCAAACTTAGAAAGTTCCGGCAATTTCGAAACTTGTTCGTAGTATTTAATCCGTACGTGCTGAAGGTACGGGTAGTTTACCGGCCAGTGTAGTTACATTAGAGTCTATTCGCTCTCATTTCCACCCAGTTATTTGCAGATGTGATACTGGGTCCGCGGACTCTGTGTGCCGTATAATGACCCGTCCGTCGCCATTGTGATCGTCCTGATCACGGCTCTCACCGTGCCACTGACGGTGATAGATTCCCGCTATTGACACGCCCTTTGATGATTTATTGGATCTTTACCACTGGCAGTTTGTCCCCGGCCGGTTCCCCTGACGACTGGAGCGGCTCACGGGCTGTCCGTCGCCGATCTGCGCTAATCACCCGGCCCCCGTCTGATTAATGAGCCCCGGCCGGCCGACCCGGTCAGGTCGGAGGGTCAGTTGCCATCGGGCTGATGGCTGCCTCTCGGCGCGGCGGCCGCTCCACTGGCGACCACCGCTGAGCCGGCGGCCGGGCGGCCGTTGGCGCGGCAGTTTTCCGCTCTCTGACCCCGGAGGGTCTCTCAGACGGCGCTCAGTGCCTGCTGTGACGGAGGACCCTCACTCGAGAATGGGCCGTCAAATGAGACTCTAATAGGCGCCAGGTCAGCAGTCATTTAAAGCTTTTCAATTCCGATGAAAATAAAACAGTGTGGTTTTAAAAGTTGGAGGCACGAAAATGTGTCATGCTTTCTCAGGCAAACCTGTGTACGCGCATACGTGCTTCTCACGGCTTGACAGGCATGGAGTGCGCTGACCTGCTATGACCTGACCTGGCGATGCATGACTTCATAACCTGACCTGAGCTCTGTGACCGGTAGGCAGTGGGCGTGGCACTGTATGACCTGACCTCTGTGACCGGCAGGCGGTGGGCGGTGCTGAGGAGAGTGTGGAGACCCTCTGCTGTGTTTGACCTGACCTGACCTGACCTCTGTGACCGGCAGGCTGTGGGTGGTGCTATATGATCCACCCTGACCTGACCTGACCTGACCTGACCTCTGTGACCGGCAGGCTGTGGGTGGTGCTATATGATCCACCCTGACCTGACCTCTGACCGTCAGGCGGTGGGCGGTGCTGGTTGACCTGATCTGATCTGACCTCTGTGACCGGCAGGCTGTGGGCGGTGCTGAAGAGAGTGTGGACGCCCTGCTGTGTTTTGCCGACTGTCAGCCGCTGGCCGCTGACACCACTGGTGAGTCCCCTGTCAGTGGTGACCCCCTCCCCCCGCTCGTGGGAGGCTCAGCAGTCAGCTCCGTCAGAGCGTTGTGGCGTGGGCTTATCAGCTGGACTGACAACGCTAGGCTAAATATGGATGGTACAGAAAGCCTCCATAAAAACTGGCAGTACAAAGTCTTCGTGATGAATGAAGAGAACCCGGTCAGATATCATTCGAATGCGGTGTAATACGTTTGTGCAATATATGCACTGCTATGAAATATCTGTTAAAGTTCAACTTACTAAGATGTTATGAATAATGAAGTGCGAAAATAATATCAAACAAGCTTCTCGTAGTCCGTAGTTAAGTCGGGCTATCGTCAATATTTCGCTGGTGCCATGCCATCCTGTCTATCTGGAGGTGTGGAGGGGCTGGCACCAGACTGCAGTGCCGGAACTCTCCCCGCCCGCCGGGCCGCCGTATGTCTGTCTGTCTGCCGGCGCAGTCCTCTGCCGCCGGAGGATTGCTCGGCCCGGTATTGGCCGCCGCGCCGACCCGTGTCCGCCGGCCGGGCGCCGCAGCGATTAACTCCAATGATTTAATTGGTGCCGGCGTGCCGGTCGCCTGGTCCGGGGGGACTGATTTCATTTGCTGCCGCCGCCTACCAGGCCCGCCACTTGGCTAATGCGTCTGCCGGCGGCTGCTGCTGCGCCTGCTGTCGGTCGGAGGGGAGGACGGGGATGTGTCCCGGGGAAGGGGGCGCCCAGGTACCCCCCCAGTGGTATACTCTGCCTCAGCCTCCCCGTGAGCTTAGCATACTGACACCTCTGGTGTCTTGGAAAGAGATGAGTTACTTCGAGGGGATGAAAATCCTAGGAGTGGGAATTAAGAGTTAGCAAGTTGCAGCGACAAGAAGCTGGGAAGTGGTTCTCAAGGTCGCGTGGTATCTATGATTTATGGGATGTTACGTGGGAAAATGCGACGAGCTTCAGCGAGCGCTTCACAATCTCCTGAAATGCCAGTCACGATGTTGCGTCCTGAATTGGCTTTCCGCGTGATCTACCTTCGAAAGCGCCACATGAAGTTAGACAACGCTGCAGAATATAGATCAGTTTCACCGAAATGCATCGGGGTGCTTGTCGACATCGGTTAGGGGAATATTTCGATGTGCTCAACCCGGTGTCTTTCTTGAAAACCAATTAGGTGGCAAGTGCTCAACCTTCTTTAGCGAGAGAGTTTCTGAAGTCGCCTCTTCCAGCTGCAGTTGACTGAATTGTTTCTACTTAATTGCATTTCCAGAACTTTTTTTCGGAGAACTCCTGAAGTACAAAGTGGATTCGTTTGAAATGTCTTCCGACTATTATTTGCCCACACGATGTGTATAGCTGGCAGTGACAACGCCGCTTTGCTTTGAAGGGAATTTGCTGTCGGCACACAGAGTCTATGCATCTATCATTGTCGGATGTGGCTGCGTGACGCGCTGGTAACAGACGGAAAGGCTTCCGACTTCTGAACTGTGTGCTTACTTGATAAAAACGTTTTGCTTTTGTATTCTCTACACACTGGCCTCCCTTCTGTGTGATGTTTCTACGAAAGGTATGATGAAGTCACATTTCCCCGGGATGGCAATAAGAAATGCCCTGGTCCCGTCCCCTCCCGTGGTCGAGATCCACTTCGCTGCCCCTCCCAGGCCTCCTCCGACTCTCCCCAGTAATGGCCCTGTCGGAGGGCTGCTGTTTCGTTATCCCCGCGAGTCCGACCAGCCCCACTCCACCGCCCATGGTCAGATATTGCGGCGCTCAATTTGCCGATGGGAAGTGCTTTGTCAGCTTTAGATAAGAGAAGTGACAGCGTAAGGAAGCAAAAAGTCTCAGAGCCTTCCCGAGGGAGCTTTTGGTAACTGACGATGTTTTTTTGCGTCTAGAGTGGCTAATAGCCTGGACAATGGGGCCGTGAAAGAAATATGTGGTTATTGCTGCTCCGTAAGAGCCTACTTCCTGCGATATCTGACTTGATGGAGTGCTGCACGCAGCGTGGGCCATTTTCCTGTCGATTTGCTATTTTTTCAGTTGTCTGCTCTTCATTTATCTCGCCGGTATCTTTCGTTACATAACGCACATTTGTCTGTCCTGTAGCTCTTCTGAATGTTGATCACTTCCCTCACTTGTGCTACATCCACAGGGATTGTGCTTAATTGGGGGTTTGTGGGGCACACAATCTGCAGGGATTAGTGTGCTGCGTTCGCAGTCGGCCCCGTTGTTTTCTGTGTCAGGAGCGCCGCTCGCCCCCCTCCGTCGGCCGCTCAATGGCGCAGTCTTGCCATCATCAGCCACTTACCGCTGCTGCTGCGGCCTGCTGACGGGGCTGATCCATTGAGGCGGGAGAGGAGACGGCCACTCGTCCCCGACCCTGGAAACACAGGGAAGGAAGACCTGCACAGTCGTGACGGTTCCTGTGGGGCAACTGTGGGGCCTGTCGTGCCTGTTGACGAGTGGGATCTGCCTGCCGTGTCGGTGTGGAGTCTCGAGTTTTCACTCCCTGACGGTAGGAGCTCCCACCGCAGACCATCTCTCTGGGACAGCGCATTACCGTGTCCCCTGGGACGCCGTATCGACACCAAAGCTGCGGATTTACCGCCGCCCATCCGTAATGCGGCATTAGCCTGTCCTCGACCCAGACCAGTCTATATATTCACGGCGAGCCCGCTAAATCACCGTCAATAAATGCTGCTGGAAATTTATTCCGGTGTCCCCCAAATGTGGTCCATACATTCGCAGATAAGAACAGACAGCTGCGATGCTATCGGTTGAGAGCCTATGCCTCATTCGAGCCGACACAAATTAGGTTGTTACGAGGAAAATAAACTATTGGTAATGCTGCTGTTTTAACTTAATGCATATGGAGGTTGTTTCACTTTGGTTTCACTGGCGTTCATCAGTCTGCTGCAGTTTGAATCATGAATATATTTGCGTGGGAAAACTGTTAGACTATCATCTCTGTCGTTGCCTTTTCAGGACACACAATTCGAAAAGCTGTATATCACTTGCTCAGCTGTTCTTTGTTGCCATGTCTCGATTCAGCGCGTGGGGCAGCGAGTATTGTAATTCAGCTCTGCTGTGATTACTGATTATGGCACCCCGATGCCAGTCTCGCACGATCCGAGTATTCCGGGTGGATCATCTCGGCCTGTCCCGGCGGCTCGGCAGTGTCTCATGGCGGCCCACCAGCTCTGCACCCGCCCCCTCCCTCTGATTCCGGCGGCCGCCTGCCGCAGCACTAATCCCCCGGACTGCGGGGGCTGACCGCGCCGGTCCGAGTCGGCACAATTAGGCAGCGCCGGGTCTCCCCAGGATACACCGGGATTAGCCGGCGCCGGGTGCTGCCGCCGCAGCTCAGCCGGGTGTGCGGAGAGGACGGCCGGCCCTGGGCACCGGCCGGACGGCTGGTGACCCACGGGAGACGCATGTAAATGGAGCGCAAATATCTGGGACAGTAAGGGAATGGCGGCGGCACACAGGCACCTATTGGTGCTGTAGATGACTGCTGGTTGTCTGGCGTGCTGCATAGGGGCTCTTGCTGAACCGGGGAATGTTACAACAGGTGGTTGACGTTCTTTCAGTCGTAGATGGTGTTGGTGGGGATATACAATGTGGGCTGTTCATATAACTGTATACACACGCTGTATTTGGTTAGCGTACAATGTGCGTAAGTGGCGTACTCTATTCTGGTGTTGCTATGCTAGCGTGTGTCAGTAACCCGATCTGCGTGTGTATTCCAGTCCATGTGTGTTCATGTGACCGTGTGTGTGTGTGTGTGTACCGTGTTAGTGTGAGTGCCTCTGCACCGTTAACCCCACCTCTCCCCCTCCTCTGATGGCCAGGTCGGACGGCGCTGCACGTGGCGGCGGCCGCCGGCCACGTGGGCGTCATGGGCTCGCTGCTGCAGGCGGTGGGACGCGGCAAGGTGGACTCACTGCTCGACCGACAGCACCGCTCGCCGCTCCACTACGCCTGCCACAACAGTACGTAACTAGCTCGTCCCACGCCTGCCACAACAGTACGTAACTACCCCGTCCTACGCCTGCCACAACAGTACGTAACTAGCTCATCCCACGCCTGCCACAACAGTACGTAACGAGCTCGCCCTACGCCTGCCACAACAGTACGTAACTGGCCCGTCCCACGCCTGCCACAACAGTACGTAACTAGCTCGTCCTACGCCTGCCACAACAGTGCGTAAATCCATCACCAGCTTTTGCCCGTCGCTGCCAGGCGTCAGTGAGGGCACCGGCCGTGCGCGGCTATGTGCGCACATTAAACTTTAGACTCTAAATTCTGCCATAGAACCGGGGTCACCGCAACAAGCTTCGCTTAGCGGTGGCTCTGTCCTTGTGAATCCTTCCTATCAAAAGGTTCGGACTAAATTCATAAAAAAGGACGAGGACCGAGAGCAATACATAGCGGTGAGTTGGACAGAGCAGGTCAGACAGAGTCGGTAAAACGGGCAGATGGAGCTGGCTGCTTGGTAAACATAGTTGACCGGTAAACATAGTCGACCGGAGTGCACATCAATGCGGTTAACGTTTTATTCTTATTTTCGCATTGCAGCTCGAAATGTGTCTGACATGTTGATGGATAGTAACTTGTTTCTGCCTTTGTTTTTGCCTTCCTGCGGGCTGCATTTGAGCAGATGTGACATCCTTCGGCTGTATTCGTGTCTCCCGCTGTCAATAAACCTTTTAGCTGACCTGCGTTCGTGTCCCGTCAGGTCACGAGGCGTGTGTCGAGCTGCTGCTCCAGTACACCGACTCCAAGACGCTGGTCGGCGCGCCCTTCTCGCCATTCCACGCCGCCGCGTAAGTACCGCTGATATGATGGGGAACCTATGTGGATAGATAGCTGACGGTGGGAACCTATGGCCACCGCGTCGGATTCAGGGACTGGATACTGTTTGGTACAGGGGCGGGATAATGCTCGGTTCAGCGAATGGATATTATTGGATACAGGTAGGTACTACTGGATATGGGGACCGTACACTGCTTGCTGGATACATCGACTGTACTCGTATACCATGTGGTGCGGAGACGTCACTGCTGGGTGGGTGGTAACAGCGCGATCTCCGTCCGGCCCGCCTGTAGTGGAGAGGGCCGATATTGGCCGCCGGCCCATCGGTCTGAACGGGACACCACTCTCAGTGACGTGATCGCTGCAATCTGGCCACACTCGGAGCTCTCTACCGAACAGGATATCTCGCTGGACGGGCTATTTCGGGGGTCAGTTTCCGCCGCAGATCTTTATGTAACGGAGGTACTATTCTCACATGCGTGCGTCATTTTGAAATGTGGTCGCTGATCGTCCTGCAAATGCCTGTAGCACCTGGAGTGGTGTGGTGGGAGCTAAATCCCGGGCTTTAACTTGGTATTGTTCTATTTATAGGAGTAATTGTGATGTCCACTAGTCCACCCAGTGACAGTGACCACAGTAGACGTGTTGAGCTAGACGGCTATGGGGTGGCAGCGGCTGTCACTTAATTCACGCAGCGTAGGTGCTAGTTATCCCACCACTCTGGTTCTGACGACCCTTCAGCGTTCAATTGGTGATGCGGCAACGTGCCAAAAACAAGAGTTTGCCACAAAGCGGGGCGCCCATTCGGTAGACTGGGTCTGAGAAGCGCCTCTTGAGACCCGAGACTTAGGGATGATTTCGTTTGTACAGAAGTTGAACAACGAGCGTTGGAGTTTGAAGTAAGTTGGAGACTTATCGCGAAAATTTAACTTAAAGTACTGTTACTAGGTATAATGCATGTTTGCCAGAAAACCGTTTTCTGGCGAAGATTTGGTTAGGCTTTACTAGTGCTGAAATTCGTATTCGTTAGGGGTGATGTTCGCGCCTTTTAAAGAGAGCATTTGTTGTGAAGTGTGGACTTATCGTTCGGTATCCATGTCAGGCTGTTGTCGATGATTACGTGTGCTCGATCACGGTTGTAGCGTCAGGCTCGCGTCGTTATCAAGGAGACTTTGCCGCTACCGAATTTCTATCCCAAAATCCGCTCCTGATCCCAGCTAGTTACATGCATACGTCGCTGGGCTAAATTTATTTTCATTTTCTGTGTAACCCTATCCTACAGAGCCCTAATTTACATAGCCATCAAGGTGATGCCCTTTGTTGTCTGGACTTCAAACGTGGCTGCAGTCTAGCCGCACTCATTCAGATGCGACACTTTTCGCTATGCGCTGCGTTTCAGCAAGGCTTCCGCTTTTCTGAAGCGCAAGACTTGGTGGTAAAAATGTGGCTGCCGGCAGCTGTGACAACCTAATTATTTTTACAGGGAGGTAGGTTAGGACATATTTATGTATAAAGTTAAGAAGGGATATTGATGTCCATCAAGGCTTGGTAAGGAAGTTCAACTATGACTCGACCGTTACTATAACTTTGCTGCTGTGACGTAAGTTTTGTGGGGAAGAAGACGTACTTACAAGATGCGTATTGCGTAATGCGGATTGATTCTTTAGGCAGACGGGGTTCTCTAACGACCCACGTCTCCGTTTTACTGGCCTCCTGATTCGATTTTATCTCATCTGGACGAGTTAAGGTGATGGCTTATTTGTTTTCCTTCTACTGTGTGTGCTTTGTGAGGGTTGGTTTCGATTGGTCGAGCAAACCGGTGGCTATTTTTCTTGGTACAATTTTGAGTGAGAAGGAAAAAAACAGAGCTTTATCAGTCAAAGAAAAAAATCGAATGATGCGGTGATAAACCAGTTGGCTTGTTGTATCCATCTATTCGAGCTGTTTGAATAATCAGCTTACATTGCCATTGTTTTCCTCTGGCGGCGCGATGCCACTGGAACACTACAGAGAGTGTTGGATGCTGTTCCGCACAGCAGCGATGCATTGCGGCACAGTATCGCTCCAGACGTCGCGGCCGGACCCCAGCCAGCCGCCCGGCCTGGCGATCCGTGCGGTTCTGGGCAGCGACGACCGTGTCAATACGGGTAATCCCTTCTGCCGATCGGGAGTACTCCCCGGCAGTGACCGCTGTCAGTCCGTGGCCTGGCGGTGACGGTCAGCGGTCGGTCAGCGGTGCCCCGGTGAAGGTCAGCGGTCGGTGGCGCTGATCGCTCCGGCCGTCTCCGGGTGAACTGGCACCGATGGGCCGTCAGCGCCAGTCAGCTGAACCTCACAGTGAGTCCAACTGAGACGGAAACCGGCGGCTACCGGCGGTAACAGGACGGTGGTGGGCCGGGTCACTGCTCGGCACACACGTCACTCACAGTGTCGGCCATCCATGGGGAACGCTGAGAGGTGTGACTGGACGGGCTGAACGGCTGCTGCCATGACTGAGCCTTTAAGTTATGAACTCTTCAAAAAAGGCAGTTCTAATAACCGATCGCTAGCAAACTTTTATCACCTGCTTACTTCCAGCTACTGGAATTTTGTTGCGGTGTGACCTGATGATCTCTCATTTCTAGTCGCCGTTGGTGGGGTTGAACCATTTATTTGTTATGCTGATCGATTGGCTATCATGAAAAATGGCTGAAAACAGATTGAGCTAATCAGTGATTCGATGCTGTCTGGGAGTGTTTTATTAGAAAGCCGTGCCTACCTCATGCCTGGGTGGTTATTTTTATTTCCCCTGGCGTTGCCAGCTCGATTGGTAGCGCCCGCCCTCGCCCTGGGCGGCTCCCGCCGTCCATTCGTCTGTGTCGGCTCGGTCTGCCGACCACCGGCCGCCCTCCAGCAACAGGCTGTTTACTCTATCAGCCCGGTAAACCGATGCAGAACGACGGCGGCAGAGAGAGAGGCCATGATAAATGAATCAAATCAGGCGTCAAATCATGTCGCCAGAGCTCAAAGGCCCAGTCGGATTGCAGTTCATACAACGCCCATTAAAATAGGATTGACACATTTGGTTGATGAGCTGGAAGCTAAGTTTGTCGTGTATCATCGATTTGATTTACAAATGCGATTCGCTTTCAGTTCTCATTGACATCGCTTGTTTTCGACGTACCCGATTGTCTGTGACAGTAACGATGCTGTGTACGAGCATTTACAATATTTTTGTTAGCAATGATTAGCGAGTCAAACGCAATGATCTTTTTTTTAACAGCTTGTTATCTAAAACAAAACTCGACATTTTCCCAACTGTCATATTGTGTGCTCTCGGTCAACTGAAGACCTCGGTATCAATCGCTGCGTCTAAAAAAAAAAAGAAGCCTTCAAATTGAGACGACCCGTGTTCGCAGTTCACACCACGGCTGCCTCTGGGCCGCGGGTCCGTGTGTAGAACTCCGTCCCGGGTGCGCCGCGGGCTAATGAGCTGCGCAGTGCGAGCTCAGTATGTGACGTCACTGTCTGCCGGCGAGCAGACGCTAATTGGACGGCGGTTAATGACGTGCCGATGGACCCCCCCCCCCTCACACCCCACCGCTCGGTGTCATAATTATCTGCCCGCGGGCGGAGGTCGCCCGGACGACTCGCCGGGGTAGTCTCTCTCCTTTCCTGTCTGTGGCTGGTCAGCGGTGCTATTAGCCAGAGCTCCGGTAATTAACCCCCACCTAGCTGTAACTGGGAGTACCGCGATGGTATGAACGTCAGAGCGGTAACAAAAACTCTCAGAGGGTAATGCATTTCTTATAAATGGAACTTTTTCAAATGGCAACATAGTTATCAGCGTGGTTTGGGTCTATAAAACAGCGGAACCTGTCGCTCTGTCTTTCCTGACTTTACGAACTGCGTGTTCAGAGAATGTTTTCAGGGACAAGTTTTACCCACGCACTTCAAACTGAACGGTGCTCAACTTTTTTCCGATTCGAGATGGGAATTGGTCGACTAACGAAGCCTCAGCGCTGAGTGTTTTTAACGACGAAGTCTGCTCGAAATAGCGTGATTACTAGGCGCATTACTAGCGTGAATTCATCGAACACCAATTTACGAACGCACTTATGCGTGACATGCACGCCTCGCCTATACCCGCACCAGTGAGAGTGCCTCCTATAGTGACCTCCTCCTGTCTCTCTCGTCAGGTACCAGGGTAACGAGCACTGTCTGTCCGCGCTGCTCACCCACTTCGGCTCGGCTCCGCTGGCCGGCGCCGACGGCCGCGGCCGGACGCCGCTGCACGTGGCCGCCGAGCGCGGCCGGCGCGACTGTGTGCCGCTGCTGGTGACCTGCCGGGAGCCACTGACCGCCGGCGACCGACAGGGACGGACCCCGCTGCAGACGGCCGCGCGGCACGGACACCTCAGCACCGTCGGTGAGTGGCCGGGGAGACCGGGAAGAGGCGGGAAACTTAGCGCGGAGTTTAGAGTCTGAGGCACGCACAACTTCAGTTGTTGGCCAGTGTCATTCAGGCTACCTTTGCTAGGTGACAAACAAGGGAACTTGTTTGCCCCAACGTTCCCCAATTGTCTGTCCCTCACGTTTGATGTGAATGTTGTCTTGCCGGTCCAAGAGTGTGACGTTTTGTCCCATCTGTTTACAGTGTGATTGTCGCCTTACCTGTGTAGGAGTGTGTTGTTCTGTCCCCACCGTTCCCTGCCTGACTCTCCATACCGCCGCCCCCAGAGTGTTTGCTGGACGCCGGCTCCCCGTTGGCTACCATTCTGACTGCGACTCCCCGCCGCCCCCAGAGTGTCTGCTGGACGCCGGCTCCCCGTAGGCTACCATTCTGACTGCGACTCCCCGCCGCCCCCAGAGTGTCTGCTGGACGCCGGCTCCCCGTGGGCTGCCATTCTGACTGCGACTCCCCGCCATTCTCCAGTGTCTGCTGGACGCCGGCTCCCCGTAGGCTACCATTCTGACTGCGACTCCCCGCCGCCCCCAGAGTGTCTGCTGGACGCCGGCTCCCCGTTGGCTACCATTCTGACTGCGACTCCCCTCCGCCCTCAGAGTGTCTGCTGGACGCCGGCTCCCCGTGGGCTACCATTCTGACTGCGACTCCCCTCCGCCCCCAGAGTGTCTGCTGGACGCCGGCTCCCCGTAGGCTACCATTCTGACTGCGACTCCCCGCCGCCCCCAGAGTGTCTGCTGGACGCCGGCTCCCCGTAGGCTACCATTCTGACTGCGACTCCCCTCCGCCCCCAGAGTGTCTGCTGGACGCCGGTTCCCCGTGGGCTACCATTCTGACTGCGACTCCCCGCCGCCCCCAGAGTGTCTGCTGGACGCCGGCTCCCCGTAGGCTACCATTCTGACTGCGACTCCCCGCCGCCCCCAGAGTGTCTGCTGGACGCCGGCTCCCCGTTGGCTACCATTCTGACTGTCCGTCCCCGCCGCCCCCAGAGTGTCTGCTGGACGCCGGCTCCCCGTTGGCTACCATTCTGACTGCGACTCCCCGCCGCCCTCAGAGTGTCTGCTGGACGCCGGCTCCCCGTAGGCTACCATTCTGACTGCGACTCCCCGCCGTTCCCAGAGTGTCTGCTGGACGCCGGCTCCCCGTGGGCTACCATTCTGACTGCGACTCCCCGCCGTTCCTAGTGTCTGCTGGACGCCGGCTCCCCGTGGGCTACCATTCTGACTGCGACTCTCCGCCGCCCTCAGAGTGTCTGCTGGACGCCGGCTCCCCGTAGGCTACCATTCTGACTGCGACTCCCCGCCGTTCCCAGAGTGTCTGCTGGACGCCGGCTCCCCGGCTGGTCACCGGGACCGCGGCGGCCGAACGGCCCTCCACCTGGCCTGTGAGGCCGAGCACAGCCGCGTGGCCGTGCGACTGGTGGAGCGGGTCGGTAGGCCGGCACTGCTCAACATCACGGACAAGGCCGGGCAGACGTGAGTACAGCGTAACACAGACATGACATGGCAGATGTGAGCAAGTACAGTGCAATCATAGATAAGATCGTAAAGACGTGAGTATTTGAAAGTAACACAGATAGGCCGAGCATGCGTGAGTACGAGACAATTTCACAGACACTTTACGATGAGTGCGGGGATGTGTAGTATCGGTAGTCAGTTTGTGGTCGGGAGTCAGACTAGGCGGACCGAAGTTTGTGTGTTGTCTGACACCCCAGTCCCCCCCCCCCCCCCCCGAGAGGTCTCTCAGCATTGTAAACCGACGGTGTGTTTTCCGCAGTGCTATACCACAAGGGAAATATCCGGTCAACTTTCCGTCATGCTGATCCCCGTCCCAAAGAGAAATGGTGTTTTGCTGTTCGAAGCATAGTGTACTCGTAATGTATGTAAAGTAAGCACCAATTACTGTTAAACATTGCGAGCTGTTTCGGTAACCGCTCGTAACCATAAACATTCAAGTGAAAGCATTTTGTGTCGGAGAGTATGTTTTGGCAGCCAAGGCGTCTCTTTCCGCGGCGGTGAGTTATTCTAAGCCCCAGCGCGAGGCGCAGTTAACGCTGCAACGCCATAGTACGTGGCTACATCGTCTCGACATCGTGAATCTATCAATTGGACGTGCGCCGTCGAACTGCAATTTGATAGATTGGCGGCCAAAAGAACGGCGGAGCTTCACGAGTGCTACCGGCGTAATTCCCGACCAAATTGACTCTGGTTAGTCTAAAACGCTGCACAATAAATTTTGTGATTACAGGGAGCATCATTGGCACTGTTGGAAAATAAGAGTGGAACTCGTACAGTGGAACCAAGTTTTCATGTAACTGGGTAAGCTCGTAGACTGTTGCTCAGACTTGGTATTAATCGAATTGCTTTTAGGTTCCATATTACGCAATCTTGCCAACTATGTATGAAGCGTTTGCATATGTATTTATGTAACTTGCCTGGACGGTCTTCCATAGTGAAAGGGGGGATATCCCATCGGTTCATTCAGTTCAATATTTCAGCTGTGGTCAGGAGCGTGACCGAACTACTTCGCTAGCCTCCCTCTCGTCTATCGGAGTGTATCGCGACAGTGTGAATCGACGGCGCCGTCCACCGCGTGACACACAGACAGACATACGCCGCCGTCGGCCCCGGCGCTGAATATCAGTCCGGCCGGTGAACGGGACACGCTCTGCCCGCTCCCGGGGGATGCTCGTGATTGGACTGCTCTGTGGTCGGCAGTAGTTCGGTCACGCCACAGCGGCAGACGGGGGAGCGACCACTCTGAACGGACGGGGCGGCCCCGACGGCGGTTAGCTGAATGGCGCGCAGATGTTTGAAGGCACGTCTTTATTCAGAGAACACGGCAGCGAGATGTAGCAGAGATAAAACGAACAAATTAAGTAGGTATATGCAGCATACAGAGTATGGCTCACAAGACTATGGAGGCTGCTTGCCAGAGGAAATTACGAAGTACATTATGAACACAGCTTTATTCGCAGCTCATGTATAACAGAAGCAGTGATGCCCCACCCATCTTCAGCTCGGTGCTCTATTCCGGCTCCCCTGCCGTCCCTGTCCGTCCGTCCGTCCGTCCGGTACTGTAATGTCTGTAGACAGGCCGTCCCCGTCCGTCCGGTACTGTAATGTCTGTGGACAGACCGTCCGTCCGTCCGGTACTGTAATGTCTGTAGACAGGCCGTCCCCGTCCGTCCGTCCGTCCGTCTGTCCGTCCGGTACTGTAATGTCTGTGGACAGGCCGTCCACCGTCCGACGGTCGCCCGTCGGCGCCGCGCCTCCACTTTATCAACCCGGACGGATTGGGTTAGGTCGGCCGGCGGCGTCTGTCGACGGGAGGACGGTCCCCGTGTGACCGGCGGTGGTGAACGCTGGGAGAGACGGGAACACGCAGAGGTGTTGTGTCCCCGGCGTGAGATACAGCCAACGCTTTATAGTGAGCACTGGGAATGACGAAGTCTTTCCTTGGCAGTTGAGTTTTTTCTCGAATGAGTTGTATGCCAACCATGCATGCCATGTTATCTATTATTCATCAATTTGTTTTAGTCGAGCAGAACCATGTGTATGCTCCCTAAATATGCGTTGCGGTGAAAAATCACCTGTCACCGACCGCCCTCCCGACCCTGTCCTGTCAGCAGGAGCTGGGCCGAAACCAATTTCCAGCCGCTCACGACGTTTAATCCCTCAACGGGCCCCACCGGTGAATTCCTGTTGCCCTATTTCGAGTGTCCAATCTCGCGCCGTTGACCGTGATGTATGACCACTTATCCTGAAACTCTGAGAAAAATGTGGTTATTTACATTACAAGATATCCACGCGGACTACGTCAACAAGCAAACAAAGCGCGGGGATTCGCTACCTTTGTGGTCCGGCTCGTGGCTGGCCGGACGGCCGTTTCATCTTGGTGCCCCGGTTACGGGGGCTGGCTGTGACGACGGGGAGTAGGGAGAACTGACCGCCGCTCGTGCCAGCCAGCGGTGGGCTGTCTGCGGCGTACTGGTGTAATGGGGAGGGCGGGATCACCTGTTGAGGCCGTAAAAGAAGGGAGGGACGGCGGAAGGCGCTTGTTGATTTGGAGAGAGGGTTTTATCACTTTACCTGTTGGTTTGGGTGGGACGTGGACCAGTCACCTGTTTTTTTTTTCTGTCTGTGCTTCAGTCACGTGTTGGTTTCGGCCGCTGAGCAGTCACCTGTTGTTTTTGGTTTTGCCGCGGACCTTAGTAATTGGTTTTGGTTTAGCTGCGGACCTGTCACATGTTGGTTTGGTTTATTTTGGTTTTCCTGTGGTCCGGTACCGTGCTGCGGTGGCCGACATACCCCGCCGCCGGCCCGCTGCCAGTCACCATCCGCCGGCCGCTAATCGCGTTACTGCCCGGCGCTACGCCTGCCACCGTCTGAAAGGGGCGGCCTGGCGGCCAACAGACCGCGCTTCCTATAGCCGTCCGCGGGCCATCGCACGGCGGACCGGTCACAGACGAGCCAGCCGGGTCGCAGACAGAACTGACCCGCCACAGGCGGATCTACTCACACTCGGCTGGACACAACGACTCCGTATCGCGCGTTCCCGTGAACCCTAATTAACTAACAACCAACTCACACCGAGCTTTGAAGCACACCAGTCCTAAACCTAGTGCAGTTACCGCATCCGGCATGCTCATAATCCAGCAACTTGGAGCGATTTTAGCACTGAAATAGCCGGTTCGTTTCCACTAATGCACCAACTGGGATCCTTTGTGACCTGACAGCGGCAGTGCTGGCTGTGGCCCGCCGCGTCACGTTACATCAGCGTGTGATATCATCCCGTGACATCCCGCCCGGGATGTCACGGGACCAGTGAGCGGCGGGATGTCCGTGACATCCCGATATCATCCCGCCGCCTCCTGGTGACGGTAACTGGTGTGTTTTGCGCTGCCGCAGATGAGCAGGCGCCCCAGCAATCCGCTATCGGGCCGCACCGAGCCGGCGCCCTTCCTCAGCATTTTAGCCGCGGGGGGGGGGGGGGCGCCCCAGAGTCGGTCTGGTAACCTTGGGGAGGGGGGGGGCGTCGTCAATTTATTTCAGTGATGCATGTTAGGGAAACACGTGGCTAACCTTACTGCAGCCGTTCTATCATTTGTGGGCAGTGTTATTTGCCACTAGACGTTTCACGAGCTGTTTTGTGGTATGATTGATGCAGAGTACACCAGTTAGTTTGTTCAAATATTCGCGTTGGCACACTCATCCTGCCCGAGATTTCCCCCGGTAAAACTGAGTTTCCACTTCTCATAAAAGAATCCACGTTCACATAAATCGTGTGGACGCGCAATAGCTCACCGGGAAACATTTGCAGCTCCGGACCGTCCACATTACCGTGGCAGGGAGACAGAGCTGGAAGACTGATATCCTCTGTTCTCAGTCCGTTGAGCATTCCTCCCCGAGACTTATCATGGTTTGGGTGACGGCAAAATATGTGCACCACTCGGCTGTTACGGATGTTACGCTACAGCAGTGAGTGGTGGCTGCCGTTACGTGACTCCTCTGTGTGTCGGTGTGATTAGACGGAAAGCATTGAGTGATGCTTGTCCTTACGTGACTTCTAGATCTGTATCAGATGCATCTGTGGCTGTATACGATAAAACGTAGGAAGCTGTATCCATCGGCGCGTCTCCAGTAGTGCGATTCCACTGTCGTAATCACTCCAGCTAGGTCCCAGGAGATTCGGCGAAAATGGCTCGGATCGGCCACAGGCGAGATGGGACCAACGAGGCGGGACGGGACCAGAGGAGAGACGAGGCGAGATTGGATGAGGCTGGACGAAACCGGCACAGACGGGACGAGACTAGAAGGAGAGACCAGACGAGGCTGGAGGAGACGGGAACGGAGAAGGGACCAAAGGAGACCGGTCGAACTGAGAACCGAGGAGAGACCATACAAGATCGGAGGAGAGACTATGCTCGAACTGAGAACCGAGGAGAGACCATACAAGATCGGAGGAGAGACTATGCGAGACCGGATGAGAACCGATGGAGACTGGTCGAAATGCAGAGACATTAGAAACGAGACCGATCAAGACGGAACCGACCGGGACCAGGTGGCATAGGCTGGATATTGGATAAGACTGGACAGGTAGTATCGGCCGAGGTAAAACAGGTGTGACAAGATTGGACCGGGACTTGAACGGTCGGTACGAATGTGAGAGAACAGGATGCGGGAGACTGAAACGAAACTAAAGGACGGTGCCGAGACTAGAGAGACCGAGACCAACCCCGACAGAGACAATCTATGGCCGCAGCTCTATTTAGACGACACAATCCCGGTCACCGGCCAGCCTAACTGGCAGCGCCCTGTCACTGATACAGGATTGATGTCGTGATTATTGTCTGGGCCTGTCGTGCGGATTTATTCCCCGATATTTCTGTATTCTGTATCTGGTCGGGCGGTAGGTTGGTATAGCACAGCCTAGTTTAACTAAGCCCGCGCTGGCAGCTGGTGAAGTGAGGTGGGGTTCGCGGCCGCTCCCGCAGGTGGGATGCGCTCGCCGCCGGTCTCCCTGTCCACTGATAACCTCTGGGCGGCGGGCGGCGGGCGGGCAGCGGTGTGCCGGTGGCTGTGTATAGCCGATCGGCCCGAATCGCTCCCTCGGGGCCGGGACCAGTTCGGTAGTGTGGTGGGAGTGTGCGAAGGGTGATTGCTCGCAGGCGAGAGATGACACAGCCCGCTTACGGGACTGGTTTATGGGCCGCGTATGCGACAGTTGGTCTGCAGTGTTAGTAATTGTGTTCCCTGGGCCACGCAGTTTCCTTTGTGACAGTTATTCCGTTTCATTTTTCACTGTTATACATTTTGTCAGATGAACGATGACTAGGCCCGTTAGTTCAGCTCGTCTTCAGTATGACTGCGCGGGCATTGCATCCCCAATCAAGAATTCTCAAATACGCGGCTAAAAGCGGAAATTACAGCGTTCTTCATTCCGGTCACGGATTGGGCATGGAAAGCATTACAATTCACTAAATTTTATTTTAGAATATTCGGCACTGTCTTCAGTCGTAGTTGTCGATATTCAGGGCGACTCTTTCAGCGTTACCGTTGCTTCCAGCTAAGCTCCATTGGGCGAAGGGGTGCTCTTTCGGATGGATGGTTCGGAGCGCTGCTTCAGCTCGATAAATGTTAAGGGCATTGGAGAAATTTGTCGATTGTCTCGTTTTTATATTGGAGGAGAGGCTGGCATTATTTGGGTTAAGTTTAGATGTTCAATATGTCAGAATTTTTCCACGGACCTACGATCAACAGATATGAGAACTGAGAACCAAGCTGCTTTTTATGTAAATAATCTTTTGGTATGTGTGGAATCCGCGAGCTTGTAGGTGGAAACGCATGCTTGGAATGCGTCCACAGCTTTACCTCGAAAACGTTTAGCGTAAAGCTGTTTTAGTTTCTGCAGTGAACAGTTTTGTATGCCGAGCCTGGGCACTCAGGCGCCGTCCGCCGCTATCCATTGGTGTGAAGTGGTTGCCAGTGCCGGTCCCAGAGGCGGTCCCTGCTCCGGTCCTGGTGGTCCCGGTTCTGGTCCGCGGTGAAGTGATCGCCTATATCGCTCCCAGTGGCCTGACCGCCGGTCCCTGGCTCTCGTCACTGTCGATCAGCCGCCGCGGCCGGCCCGCGACTCTGGCTCCGACCCAAAGCAGACGGCCCCTCCGGGGACCAGCGCAGACATTAATAATTGAATCGGATCAATTTATCAGCTAGTGATATTGACCTGTGGACGTTGGGCTGCTGCGCTACTGACTGGTCCCGTGAGGCTGACCGGGCTGTCCTGGCGTGTGACCAACTGCTCAGCTGTATCCGGGTCAGGTGGGGTGACTGGTGACCTGACCTGTCCCGACCTTCAGGTGGCTGATGACCCGGACAGGTCTTACTTCGCCCCAGGGCGCAACACCTAACCTGCGGCACTCCCTGTCCCGCCATGTCCCCCTTTCAACAGGACGCTGCACACGACTGGTGACCTGCTCTGTCCTTTACCCTATTGTGCTGCGTACGGCTGCTGACCCTGTCTGACCTGGCCCGCTCTCCTCCGGCAGGGCGCTGCACGTGGCGGCCCGGCGCGGTCTGGTGGACGTCACGGACGCGCTGGTCAGCCACGGCGCCTCTGTGAGCTGTGTGGACGCGCGCGGCTACACGCCGGCGCTGGCCACCACTGTGTCGGACGCGCACGCCGACTGTCTGTCACTGATCCTGGCCGGAGACAGGGCCGACCGGATGGCGACGTCCGTCCGGCTCTCCAGCGGCTCCAGCCAGCGGCTCAGCGAGACGGGTTAGTGGGGAGGGAGGGAGGGAGGGAAGGTCCTCCAGCGGCTCCAGCCAGCGGCTCAGCGAGACGGGTTAGTGGGGAGGAATGAGGGAGGGAGAGAGAGAGAGGGGGGGGATTGATCGAGAGTGGTAGAGAGGGATTGGGAGGAGGGAGGGACGCCTCCTCAGTGCTTCCAGTCAGTGGCTCAGCGGTGAATGTAGATTTTTTGGGTGATCCTAACTAGGTTCCGAAACCCGAACTCGTCATCGCTCATCACCATGATATAATTGTAACCCTCGCTGTCCATTACCACATCAACCACACACCACCCGAGGCGTTCCCACCCTGTCTGTGTGGCACGCTCTCCGTGTCCACTCCCTCCGGGTGGACGCTGTCGGTTGGTGTGACTGGACCGGCCGCGACGGACCCCCTCCCCCCCCCCTCCCCCGGGCGGTCAGCCGACGGCGCGTGCCGGCCAGCCGGGAAATCTGACCCGACGGCCGCGACCTCACGGTGGTTTATTGCCGCCGAACCGGGCCCAAACGCGACGCGCGACCGACGGGACGCCCGAAATGCCGGGGAGGGGGAGGGTTACGTGGTACGATGGCTGAATGTATGTGATCTTGGATTGGCTACCTACTGTACCTACAGTGTGGCTGTGGTATGTGACACTTTCGGTGACAGACGTTAACAGGTGTGCCCTCTACTGCTGTATGTGACAGGTTTGGTGAAAGACGTGTCCAATGTTGACAGTTTTCGTGACAGTTGTGTCAGTTGTTGACAGTTTAGGCGACAGCTGTGTCAAATGGGGACAGCTGGGATGACAGCGGTGACAGACGTGTTGACGGTGGTGGGATTTGTCAACTGACGCGATGTTTTGTACCCCCAGGCTCCGCCATGAAGAGACTCTCTTTGGCGGCGCACCTGGAGTCCAGTCTGGAGGAACAGACTTACCAGAGCTCAGACTCCGAGTTCTACTGATAAACTCCAGTCTGGAGCCCTGGAGTCCAGTCTGGAGGAACAGACTTACCAGAGCTCAGACTCCGAGTTCTACTGAGTTCTAGAGTCCTGGAGCCCAGCCTGGAAGAAGGGACCTACCAGAGCTTCGACTCTGAGTTCTACTGACCGACTAGACTCCAGTCTGGAGTCCAGCAGGCACATCTGGAGGATCAGACGCATCGTAGCCCCGACTTTCAAGTTCAAGTAACAGACTGACGACGTTCTCCAGTGCCCCGAGAAGTGCCTGCCCGCGGCGGCCGGCCGGCCGACTGGAGGCTGTGTCTGCGGCCGGCGGAGGGGGAGGGACTGAGGCGGCCGGCCGCCCCTCGCTGCTGATTACGCGCTGTCCGGCCGCCGCTGACGCGATTAGCGGCCGTGCGCCGTATGTAGCGCGGGGCTCAGAGTCGTCCGTGCGTGTGACGGGATCTCATTGTACTGGGACGCCGCGGCCGTACCTGATGGGACCACCGGCTGGGGTCTGTGGGACCGAGGTGTCCGGCCCAGCCGCCGGGGAGGGCCGCACAGCAGCTGAGGACAGCGCTCCGTCCGCCCGCGCGGTCCGGGACCAAGTCTCGCAGGAGGTGCGATATTAGTCTTCACAGACCATAACCGTATATACAGCTAGTGGGCCGACAATAATCCACGGGGAAGGTTTTGGTGGGAGTGGCGGGGTCGCTGCGGCCCTTGCAGAGCTGTTGTATGGTGTTTGGGAGGGAGAAAGGATAGAGTGGCGGAGGGAGAGCGGAGAGAGTGGCGGAGGGAGAGCGGAGAGAGTGACGGAGGGAGAGGCGGAGAGAGTGGCGGAGGAAGACCGCCATTTAACAATGCCGACGTTGGTACCTGTTGACTGAGCCCGTGTGCTCTGATATGATCTGCGCTTCCATTCCGTGCCAACTGGGCCTTGGCTGAAGGCCGGTCGTCCATAAGAGGCAGTGTTATTCGCTTAACTCCGTTTATTCCGGTCGGGTCGCGCCGTGCCTTGGTGTGCGTACTAAATGGTGCCTTACACAATACACACCCACACATACCATGTACTGTGATAGGTGCCGGGGTAGTGCGGGCAGGCGTGGCTCTCCGCACGGACCAGACTGTTAGTAGGTATGTTGACTGGCCACCGGGACCGTGTCACAAGTTACAGCTCTGGGCGTCTGTGGCCTGTGCGCCTGTTGAACCCACTGCGGAGACGAATGGTGCAGCAATATACAGCCGGTCCCGCTTAATTTTGTGTCCGACAGACGGGGGAGCGAAGACAAAGGCCAAGCAAAGGCAGGAGGAGACAAAGGTTTCTGTGCTTAAGTTCTTGAGTTTCAAGTAGTTCAGAACGAGACCAGTTTTGGGTAGAAGCCTAGCAATTTCGGTGACCAATTCACGCAACGCAATATTTACGTTGCTAACAGCTTATTACAAAGAGATCATGCCCTTTTTGCCAGTTTTTCGAAAACTGAGGCAATGTAATATCAATTGAGTGGGTCATCAGCACGTTCCGTATCGGTGCAAAGGCAAAGAAGGTGTATCAAAGGTGTTTTGTACCGATACTAAAGGCACCCACCCATTTATAGACCGGTCTGTTTCGGTACTGGAGTGGGTGTCTGTCCGTATCGAGCCCTGCCAGCCTACCCAGAATTTCACTAACGGCGTCTGTCGGCTGGCTTTTAGCCGGCGGTCGCTCCTCTTCAATCGCGGCTGACGGGCGGCTGCGATCTGCTCCTGATCACGGCTGGACGGTCTGACCGAGCCGCCGTGGGCCGTTCAGACAGACACGTGGGGGGGGGGGGTCAGGTCCCGATCTGCTCCTGGTCACGGCTGGACGGTCTGACCGAGCCGCCGTGGGTCGTTCAGACAGACACGTGGAGGGGGGAGGGGTCAGGTCCCGATCTGCTCGTGATCACGGCTGGACGGTCTGACCGAGCCGCCGTGGGCCGTTCAGACAGACACGTGGGGGGGGGGGTCAGGTCCCGATCTGCTCCTGGTCACGGCTGGACGGTCTGACCGAGCCGCCGTGGGTCGTTCAGACAGACACGTGGAGGGGGGAGGGGTCAGGTCCCGATCTGCTCGTGATCACGGCTGGACGGTCTGACCGAGCCGCCGTGGGTCGTTCAGACAGACACGTGGAGGGGGGAGGGGTCAGGTCCCGATCTGCTCGTGATCACGGCTGGACGGTCTGACCGAGCCGCCGTGGGTCGTTCAGACAGACACGTGGAGGGGGGAGGGGTCAGGTCCCGATCTGCTCGTGATCACGGCTGGACGGTCTGACCGAGCCGCCGTGGGTCGTTCAGACAGACACGTGGAGGGGGGAGGGGTCAGGTCCCGATCTGCTCCTGATCACGGCTGGACGGTCTGACCGAGCCGCCGTGGGTCGTTCAGACAGACACGTGGAGGGGGGAGGGGTCAGGTCCCGATCTGCTCGTGATCACGGCTGGACAGTCTGACCGAGCCGCCGTGGGTAGACGGACAGACACGTGGGGTGGGGGGTCAGGTCCCGATCTGCTGATCACGGCGGGACGCTCTCTGACCAGGCCGCCGTGGGCAGTTGGGGCAGACCGACACGTGGGGTGGGGGAGGGGGGTCAGGTCCCGATCTGCTCCTGATCACGGCGGGACGGTCTGACCGAGCCGCCGTGGGTAGACAGACCGACACGTGGGGTGGGGGCAGCTCCCGATCCAATATTGGTGACCGTTCGGTCAGAGGAAGCCGACACGTGGGGTACAGCCCTGCCGTAACGGGACACACCAGTCTCAGTGACCTGTCAGGTGCCAGGAAAGATGAAAACACTTAGGGCCCGCGAACTGCTTCAGGACGCCTCTATACTACAGGGTTACTATGTTAGAATTTAGGGCGAAGTCGTGGACGGTGTACCTTTAGGTGGTTGAAGTTTCAGCGTACCAAAGACGAAGACGGAGAGGTTAGTTTTGGGAAACAGCAGTCGTCAAAAAGGTTGAAACCAAAAACGGACATCGTGTAACCAGATATAGAATGTATATGTATGCCTCGCCTTTCGAGGCTGGCTCCTGCGCTGTCCCCTCCCTGCTGTCTGCTGCCGTGTGTCATCCCCAGTGACCCGGGACCGGATGCTGGGTCACATTACCGGACCACATCCAATATCCGCCCCCGCCCCTGCCCGCCAACGGTCTGCCCAGTTTGACCGGTCACAGTAGCGTGCCAGTCCGGTGAGCGCGGGGTGAGTGCCCGGCAGAGTGGCAGATGTCGCATGAACTGTGCCTGCACACGGGACGGGACGGGACGCAATCCTGTCCTGTGCATGCCATAACTAGCACGGGACGGGACGCAGCCCTGTCCTTTGCCAGAACTATTACCTGACGGGACGCAGCCCTGTCCTATGCCGGAACTATTACCTGACGGGACGCAGCTGTGTCTGTGCTGTAACCGGGACGGGACATGGGATGCCCATTCTGTTTGCACTGGAATCCGTCTTGCCGAGTGGTGTCGTCTCTCTTCCTATGGTTCAAACCGTATAAAATAAAGTGTCGGTCATTTACAACGCTACAGGGAAAATATCAAGTGGTCTCCCTTTTCCATATCCAGTCTTGCCGCTTCCCAGCCTAGCTGCTTATCGCCGAAAGCCTGCTTTCCGCCCGGCGTTCCACTTCCCTGCGATGTAGACTGCGCCGCATGACCTGCGTGTATCACGGGTTGCCTATCTAGTGCGGACGGCCGGTGTAGGAGCAGATGGCAGCGATGCCACGCTACGCCGGTAAGTTATTGTTTGCTGTGATCAAGCCGTGAAGTGGGAAGTCAGCTGCTTAGATTTCAGGCCGGTTGTTAGGGGAAGGAGGGTGAATTGCGCCACCTTAAGGAAAAACGCTAATTGTAAGAAAACCGCTGGAGATATGAACATGCACTGGTAACCATTTCAAAGAGGATCTCATTGGCTACGATTTAAGAGCCTCCCGATCAATTAAGAATATTTCGTTTGCTTCTGACAGCTGCTTTTTCAGAAACATGCAAAAGGGCGCATTTGCCAACAACTGCTGTAAATTGCGCCATGGGGATGGCGCAATTAAAGCCCAATTGCGCTCTATACTTTAACCCGCGCCGTGCTGGGGGGGGCGTTTTTACGCCCCCCTCCCTCAGGTTTTTCGCGAATATCTCAAAAACGGCGGCGCGCAGCGCCGCCGTTTTTGGTACACGTGTTCCTACATCATTTCCGCACATGTTGTGAAAATTTCAGACCTAGGCCGTTCAAGGTCAGGTCACCAGGTCACGTCAAGTGACCTTACCTCAGAAAAAGTTCAAAGGCTCGCTATAGCTACACCGACTGAACGATCACTTTGAAACTTTCAGCGATTGATATGAGTAACAGTATGTATAAAATGTATATCTCGGATTTTTGATATCTGTGACCTAAGGTCAGGTCAATTTTGCGACCTCTCCATTATAAGTCAATGGGAGAAAATTGAAATGCGCCTCTTTTGGACGAATATCGTTCAAAACGCTCTCAAACATCGGTTCATAGGTAAACATGACACACTGAATAGGAAAAATGCACCAGTGACCCCTCTGTGTGCCCCTGAGGTCATCTCAGGTCATGATTGGTCGCCAGCAGTTTTTTGGCTATAACTTTTGATAGAGACGTGCTAGAGCGGTGAAAACACGTCAGATGTGTTCAGCTCGACGATACGGATCGATTGATATGCAACATGACCCTTTTCGGTCAGGTCATGACCTTGACCTGAGGTCAAATTTTCAAAATGACCTTTCAAGGTCAAGGAATAGTTCATTCGACGCGACTCGACGAGAGGAACACGATGCTGGCAAAAGTAATGTCATGGCGCTTATGAGTCAAAAGTTATTGACGAAAAAACGTTTTTCGTAAAAACGGCTATTTTTGGAGTTTTTGCCCTCTGGAGGCTAAACCGTTGACCTGAGGTCAAATCTGAGAACATTACTCAGAAAGGTCTGTAAAAGGGCTATCGAATGCGCTTTTCCGCGGCGCTGTAGCTCTATCGGTTCCCGAGATAGCCGTTGGCAGTTTCCAAAATGTTGAAATAGTCAACATTTTACCTTTGGTGACCTCTGGTGACCTGACCTTTGACCTGACCCAAAAAATGACCGAAGTGTTTTCGTCCTTATTTTTGACGCTCTTTCGATTGCCGCTTACCGCGTGTCGCTACGTGGCCCAGGAGCCGAGTTAGACGGGGGGGGCGTGAAAACGCCCCCCCAGCACTCGGCGGAAAGTTCAGGCCACCAGCACGGCGCGGGTTAACATGGCTAAGCGAATGAGACGGAATGCATATGTTACGGGCCAAGTGCGAAGGCTAGTCCGTTTGCGAACGGACTAGTCCATTCGCGAATGGACTAGGCCGTTTGCGAATGGCGGTCCGTTCGCAAACGGACTAGCCCGTTTGCGAATGGCCGGCCATTCGCGAATGGCCTAGGCCGTTTGCGAACGGACGGGTTTGTGGCGTTGCACTTAGCCGCCGGAAGCATGGATCCTCGGATTGGGGTACGATTCCGAGTGAATGGGGGACCGCTGGTCGATGCAGGGGCGTCGCCGACGGGGGGGGGGTCGGAGGGGTCCGGACCCCCCCCCACACACACACACATTCTTGAAAATATGCCGGTCCGACGCCCCCCCCCCCTCCCCCCCCCCCCCACACACACTTTTGGCCACGAAAATCGATCAAGAATAAAATAAAATATTTTAAAAACGATTTTGGTATTTTCAAAATAAAATTGTCTAAATCCGAGGAGTTTTCAGTATTTGGTGGGGATTACTTTGACTGACCGTCCGACCAGATCCCCTAGTCGAAAATCCGTGGCGACGCCACTTCGTCGATATGTTTAGTTTGTTCTCCGGAGCAGATCTGCGAGCTGGCGCAACTCTGGGTTAAGGTCTCCACGCACCTGGTCCATTCGGGATGCGACTTTCCGCTGAACCCTGCACAACGCGGAAATTATAGCAACGTGTGGCCGCTGGCCAGGCTTCGGCCACCGATCTGGATCTGGGGAGGTCAAATATCCTCGTGACCTTCCAACAGCGGAGAGTCGCGTGGTGTGCGGAGACCATTAGTACCGTGCTCCGGGCTCCCCGCTGATGACCCGACCTGACCTTGGTCGAGTTCGTGGCGCTCGATTCATTCTGCTCTGGTGTGGTGTACCGGGACGGTGCGGCTTGTGTGTGCAGTGAGTGCGGTGCGGTGAGTGTTCGAAAAACTGTTGTGTTGCATTGCATTTAACCCGCGCCCCGTTGGGCT